CTGGGTACCAGTTGCTGCTTCAGTGGTCTCTTTGGATATGTTTCTGTCCTCTACTGGCCAGAGGTCAAGTTTTCCAGAAGCTAGTTGCCTGTACAAATTACAGTGCACATATTTTACATCTCATTGTAATGCTTTCTTTTGCCAACATCCGCTTCTTTGCAAATGTTCCATTTCCAAGCCATTTTTGTGCAAGCCCCAGGAGAAGCCATCAGACAAGCATGCTGAAAATTTATCCCTGGGCATCATTAATGCACATCTGGCTGATGAAGACATACAGTTTATATAAGCTGCAATTTGGAATGTGTCCTTTTCCAAACAGCTAGTCCTACAAGATACCATTTTCTCTGGAAAAAAATAGGGCTGGGGGAAATATCTGAATGTCCAGCTCAAGAAGTCACAGACTACCCACAGCAATTTTGGGGCAAGAAGGAAAACCTGGTGTGTTTGAATAATTTTCAGCATCAGCATTTGGAGCACCTATTCAGCAGGAGACTGCAGGAGAGATGCTGGGTAGTGAGTGACCAAAAGGAGACATGACAAGTCTGCTTGTGGGCTTGGATCTAATGTCTAAATATTGAGATGACGTTGGGACTCTGAGACATGTCTTTGGAGACAAGCAACTGAATGATTGCAAAAAGTAGATTCTAAGGATGAGACTTCTGCATTAGGATACCTTGAACTCTGAGGACTTCTTTTTTCTTCTTTTTTCTTCTGTCCCAGTTACAGTGACAGTATCAACTGCTGGGCATAAAAGCCCATCATGTAAAATGTGGGGAAGGATGTTTTAACTATCTTCATGCCAGAAAGCAGCAAACATAAAACCAGTGCTTTAGTGTTTAAGGGAATGTGAAATGGGCAAAGGGCAACATTTTTGAGCTGAAGGTCAAGGAGCAAACTCTAAAAAAATAAAGAACTGATGATACAATATACCTGTCAGAGATGAAGAAATGGGCGTGTAGGACCCACTCAAAATGAGAATGGTACATTATGCTTTAAGCCCTCCAAATGTACACTGAACTACCACACTTTGCCTGACTTGCCTATCATCTGTTAATGCTTGGTTTTATATTATGGAGATGTGATTCTAAGTTAAGGAGGCAATCCAGGTCCTGGCAGTACCTATACTGAAGCAGAACACCTGTTCCATTGCCATCTGGATACATTTATGGCAGGACTGTGCTTTCGTAAGCAACCCTGGCTTGCTTTCATTAAACTGCCTTTACCTCAATCCATGAGTTTTTCATCTTATTTTCTTCCCCCTGCCCTGCTGAGGAGGAGTGAGGGAAGGTTTGGTGGAGCAGCTTGGTGAGCACCTGGCAGGCACCCCACCACAAAAGGATATTGTGAAATTAGAGGTTGAGAGATAATTTTTTTCTGACTGCTCTGTGAACATTCAGAGGCTGGGCTATGGTAAACCACTGAAGCTGGTTACTACCTGTATAAAACACAGCAGGTATGACACTTATCCTGCTTCTCTGAGCCCCAGCAGAAAGTGCCAGTAACACATAGCAAGCACAGACCAGTCATAGACAAATTTGCTTATGGATATACAGAAGAAGCAGCAGTAAGCTGGGAGGCTGAACTCCTTCCATCTTGCTCTCTTGCTCTCTTCTACCACCTGCAGCACTGAATCATGTCATGGCACAGAAATTATAATTGCTCAGTCCCAGCTTCCCTTTGGTCCAGAAAACAGCTGTATTCATCCTCTACTGAGCAAATCCATGGAGTAGTCACCTTTGGTCTCCAATCGTATCTAATTTATCCCTTTTTATCTTGCACTATCACTATTTTCCTCTAAATGGCTGCCTTTATAGTTCATGAAAATACCTGTCTGGATGGGGAAAATATTGTCACAAAAAAAACCCACACCACACACAAAAAGCAAGCCTACAACCTGCCTCACCTAATCACAGCCATTAACTGTTTCCTCTGGCCAATAAATGTAGTCTCCAATTAATTAAACTCCACCCAGTTTAACTGTCTGTGTTGGCCACATACTAAAAAAGTCATGTGCTGTGCTGTTATCCATCTCAGCTTGGTAACAGCAAAATGTCTGTTTATTGTTGGCAAAGGTTCCACAGAGTCCCATTATTTCTCCCTGAATCCACACATAAACACCGAATAGGACAGGACTGAGAATGAAAGTCCCTTCCTGGTCAGCACATTTCCCCCAAGCCCATCTGTCACCCTCGAGGCAGTATCAAAGCACTGCTGCTAAAGAACAGCGTGAGGAGACTTGGGAGGGAGTATGTTCTTCTTTATTCAAGGAAAACAGAGGACGCTTCAGGAGTTTCACCAGTTCTGTTTATTTTTAAGCAGAATGATTCATATTGCCTTGCGAGCATATCGACCAACTTACAGCAAATTGTTTAAACAAAAACAATTATCCTCTTGCCTCCCTTCTGAGGTTTGCTTTCCTGATACAGTACAGCCATATGGTCCCTGGAGTTTCTCAGGGTATGAGTGACAACCTCTTACAACATAAAAAAAATTTGCAAGCCATTATTATTGTAAAAATGTCAATCACTGACACAGTTACTCTTTAAAGAGTCTTTGGGTTAAAGTTTACTGAGCATTACGTGTAGACATATGCTCTTTGTTAGACTTTTGGTAGCTTCTGTACAACCCAGCAACAAAGCCTGCAGCATCCTAAGACACTGGTTAAACTGATGCCACAGAAACCAGCATCATAGAAGTGAAACATCAACTCTGACTTGGACACCTTCCAGATGAAGTACTTGGCCCAAACTGAAGTCAGACAATGGCTGCTTAACAGATTGCTTTTCAAAAGAAAAATACATATTCATCTTTCCTCTTTCAACCAAGAAAACATTCTTTATCTAAAAGGAGGGGATTCCTTTGTCTAGGAGCAAAAAATCAGATTTAGATGGTTCCACAGACTGGCAATGAAGAACATTAGGCCTCCTAGCAACATTCTTCAGCACCCTTTGCATGCAGACTTGGCTCTGTATTTCTACTGCTTGCTGTAAGTGGCAGTCATATACTTCAGAATATGACTGTATATGGAGTCTGTGTCTGGCAGTAATGAACAGTAGGTGGTCTGAATTACTCATTACTCTCATGCCATCGGATGTGGGGCAGCAAGTTAAGCAGCGTGAACAGAGCTCTTGGGCATACAATCAGAAGGAGAAAACATCATCCTTTGTGCTCGACGCTTGAACAGTTTCTTGCATCATTTCCTTAATGTACAACGAACTGAGCTGCAAGCCTTCAAACAAGCCCCTAGAAATTCTCCAGGGGCTGCTCTTCCCAAGTGTTCTTCTCTTCCCCCAGAGACTGTGGGAGGTTCTTTTGCTTATGAACCACCCCCCCCCACCCCCCCCCATTTTTATGAACTATTTTCTCTATCTGCTTAAGAAACCACTTTTGTATCTTTTCTGCTAAGATCTTTGTTAAAATGAAATTACTTACATTGTGGCTTGGCTAAAGCAGTGTGCTAGAGAGAATTTAGCTAGGCAGCAAAAAACTTCAATTTAAGGGGGGTGGTGATGTTTCCCCTCATTAATCTGTTTCTACGGTACAAAATGTTTTCTGCAGCAAAATGCCTCTCACAGCAAGTTTGTATGGTTCTGTTCCTGAATGTTCCTTGACTGCTTTCTGCTTTCTTTAACAATGGCTCTATACCATGCGTCAAACATCTGATTTATTTTTACAGCATTACAAATGCAATGCATTTCATACAAAAGCTCTTTCATAACATCAGTTTTAATACAGCACAGCTACTTTAATATGGTATTTTCTAAGAATTCGTAAGAAGCCATAGGTGTATAAATGGCCTCTTCTGCATTTTCAGGTACTTATTGTCAAAATCACACAAATACAGAATCCTAGGCATGACATCAACAGGAAAGAAGAGAAACTTTGGTATTTTTGCATATGAGACATTTTTTCATTACGCAGCCAGAAACCACTAACTACTGTATAGACAATTCATCTATCAGCCCCCACAGACTCTGCCTGGTTCCTTTTGAAGACATTTATTCTTCACAAACACAGAGGGCCTTGTCTGTACTTCAAAACTGCACCAGGACAACTGTATTACTGTAGTACAAGCACTCGGGGTGGACAACATAGAATCATTTTATATCCATGCAAATACAGTGATACAGGAAGGCCAAAGCTTAAATCTTTTCTATACTAGCAAAAATTAGACTCGTTTGGGTTGAAATAGACTTTCAAGATCATCCAGTTCCAACCCCCTATCGTGGGCAGGGATACTTTTCATTAGACCAGGTTGCTCAAAGCCCTGTTCAGCCTGGCTTTGAACACTGACAGGGCAGCCACAGCTGCTCTGGCCAACCTGTGCCACTGCCTCACCTCGCTCATAATAAAGAACTTCTTTCTAATCTCTAATCTAAACCTCCCCTCTTTCAGCTTAAAGCCATTCCCCCTTGCCCTATCACTACAGGCCCTTCTAAAAAGAGCCTCTCCAGATTTCTTGTAGCCCCTATTGGCACTGGAAGCTGCTCTAAGGTCTTCCCAGAACCTCCTCTAGCTGAACCAGCCCAGCTTTCTCAGCCTGTCTTCAGAGCAGAGATGCTCCAGCCCTTGGCGCATCTTTGTGGCCTTCTGCAGACTCTATACAAATGTACAGGTACCAGTACACCTATAAAGCTCTAAAACACAGTCACGTGTGCATGTGCAGACCCACATATACACACCTCCCCTGAAAAACTGCTATTCAGCAATTTATCTCCGTCATCTGCCAAAACCAACAAGTCCAAATCCCTACCCTCGCTACACCCGGGGTGTGACTTGTGTGAACTTTCTAGGATTCTGACCTAACTTTTCAACCTCAAACCACCTCCTGCAGGACTCCAGGCTGACACCTCTACATGCTGGCCTGCCCAGAAACGTTCACGTCACTCAGGAAGCCAGAACAACGAGCGAGCTCTCGAATAAGGCCTTCAACGGGAAGACCGTGACCGGCTGACAGCGCCCCCGCGACACCCACCATGACAAACACCCCTCAGCCGCGGCGCCTGCCGCTACGTCACTTCCTCTCCGGTTCGCCTGCGCCGCCGAGTGCTTCCGCCTGCGCGTTTCCAGGGCAACGCGGCGCCCGGCTCTGTGAGTAGGGGTGCCTGGGGCCGGGGGGAAGGTTCGAGCGGGGTTCAGTGGGGCCGGGACGGCCGGGTCGGGCGCTCCCGCTACCAACCGCGCTTCCGCGGGGAGGGCTGCGGGGCCCGGGGAGGCCCTTTCTCGCTCCCCGCCTGCCGGGGGCCGTCCCGCAGCGCTCCGGGGGCTGGAGGAGCGGAGCAGATGTCGCGGCCCGTCTCGGTAACTCCGCGCGGGTCCTCGGGCCGGTATCAGCGGGCCTGGTTGTCCGGGAGGAGCCTGCAGCCCGGGACCCAGGCGAGAGGGAAGGGTCTCGGGCTTCGGTACGGGTGAGGGGTGGGAGGAGCGGTTGGGCAGGTGCCGGTTCCAGAGTCCCGGAGCCGGGCAGAAGACCCTTTGGTGTCCCCTTGCGACAGGTCCGGGCGGGGGCCTCACGGTGACCGCTCCCGGGGGGGAGGATAGGAGAGATGTCAGGAGCAGCCCCAGTCCCACTGCCCCGCAGAGCGGCACTGGTTAAGGGAGCGGTGTCCCAGCCAAAGGGCGCTGCACTGAGCCGGCTTTTACCAGTTGAACAGTTTAATCTTGGATAGGATAATGCATCTGGAGAAGGAATGGCATGGCCGCCATACAGCAGTTTATTATGATAGGCTCAAGTACTTAATCACAGCGTCTTACCTTTTTGGCACAGCTTGGCTCCGTGGGAGATGTCAACCCCTCCCCTCGCCGGGGCAGGCATACCGCCAGGTGCCTTCTCAGGGACACAGGCTCAGGCAGCTCGGGAGGTAAATACAGCTTCCCTCTGTCGAATTGGCCAAGAGACTGTGCAGGACATTGTATTCCGGACCATGGAAATCTTTCAGTTACTGAGGAACATGCAGGTGAGAAATAACTTTCTTTTTGTGTGCCTCAACTCTCCATGTGTTTACCAGGCACAGGAGATAACTTAGGACATTTAAATGCATGACTCAATCAAACTGCTTTGAAAAGTTGATGAAAAAGTGAATGCTAGTCTTAGTATATTTTCATACTTCTGTACATTAAGTAAGGATGGAGAAAGTTCAGAAATGCCGACTTGTTATTGCCCTCACAATAAATATGCTCTAAACACGCTGAGTATTTGGGTTTTCCTTTATGAATAGTTGTCTGTTTATATGCTAGTTATGTTTCTCTGGTTCTGTGAAAATCTTGGGATTATTTTTAGAGGATTTCTCTTTGATTTTTGTAATATTTTTCACCTAGAACTTTTGGATAATTTGTTGTTACTAAAGTGGACATAGTGCTTACTTGTGGCTACTTACTGAGAAAGCATACAAACTTCTGTTGTTCTTTGTTGAGAGCAGAAGAGAAATAATCATTCCTATTCTCTCTGTTTTCACAACTGACAATTTCCTCCGGTAGTTGTCTTAGGTACGGGTATATATACTTAGAGTTTGCTAACTATGAATTCATTTTGTGTCTCTGAATTGTGACCTGGGGTTGAGACACGAAGTCTCAAAGTGTAATAATAACAGTGTCATGCTTAAGATTTTTGAAGACATTTGCTGAAAAGAGTTAGAGGTGACAATGACCAAAGTGTAGAATCCATGAAGCTGTTTGACAGCAGTGATTTGCACAGTAGATGAGCAGATAAAATACAGAATTTTGCAGATAAAGAAAATAGACATTTCAGTGATTTCTGTGGGGATGCTGTGATTGTCTTACTTTAAAATGTACAAACCCCCTCTGAATTATTTTAGCTGATATATGTCATGTGACAGAAACTTTACTGTTTTTAACATTTTGGGGGTTTGGTTCTCAAAGTTACCGAATGGTGTTACATATCATACTGGAACATATCAAGACAGACTGGGAAAGCTGCAGGAACATCTCCGTCAGCTGTCGATACTCTTCAGAAAACTGAGATTAGTCTATGACAAATGCAATGAAAACTGTGCTGGGCTTGATCCTGTTCCCGTAGAAGTAAGTATCTTTATTTGTATCTAAATTAGAGATCAGAATAACCACTCTCTGCTTAGTGTATCACCGATTCTCTTGAGTTGCAGGAGACTTATAACAAGTTTTAAATGACACTGGAATTATTCTGTGGACTGAATTCTGTTTATTATTTGGAGTTGGTTGGAACATTGTGAAACTTTACCATTAACATTAACGATTCTTACCAGTTGGAAGGGATCCAATTCTGAAATCAACGTTAATTTAAAATTTTAGTCTTTTTCCTCAGGCTTTTTACTGCATTCACCAGTTCATTTCCCCTAGGAAAAAAAAATGGTCAGGGCAAGTTTGTGGGATTTTATTTTATCTTTTTTTAAGTAAGTTGTTGTAGCAGGAAAATGTCTGCTTTAAGTTGTCACCTGCCAGCCTAGCTCTGAGTAATAACCACTTTTCTCCTTGTTTTGGCCATCAGTCTGTACCTGCAACTCTTAACCTGTTGTGCCACTATCAACCAAATCTAAGTGTGCAGTGATGATGAGAAAGTTAACAGCAGGATTGGCCAAAGTTTTTCCTAATACAAATGCTGTTCCTATTAAAATCACAACTTCATTTTTCCTCCTCATATGTTAAGTTGCTTCTAATTCCTAGTAATACCCTTAAAACCTGTTTTGATTTGAGGAACTACTGCTCTATATTAACCAGAACTGCAAAGTTTTTTAATTAATGAGCTCTGAATTCTGAGGCAACTTCTGATTGTCCATAGGGTTTTAATCATTTAGATATTATTTTTTATGTATGAGTCTCTTCACTGAATAGGAATAAAGAAATGAAGGAGTCCATTCTGTACAGTCCATTCTAGACTACTTATTGCTTTATGGAAAAACTCCTATTAGGTGGTCCTGTGGGCCTGGTCCTAAGAATAGCCAAACAGAGGCCCACTAAAATAGCAAGTCATAATTAGGGTATTAGCCAAGTAGCTATGTAAAGCCAGTCATAATTATGTTCAGTGTATCACTGAAATACTTTACAGTAATGTTTGTGGTATAGTAAATTTTAAAATCACAATCTGCAGAGTTTGAAAATACAGGGGTTATCAGTGATAAACATCTTAATGTAAAGACTGAGTTCCGCCTGCAGTTCTGAAATTTCTTAGGTCTAGGCATTCTGATATGTGGGATTGTATCTTCTTGAAGCACATGAGTTTTCCTGGGCAGCAAACTGAGGTTACTGCAAGGCCTTTGGGTTTGAGGTGATGAAGTAAGCTTGTCTCTGCTTCCTCTTGGGAAGTTTGAACCTTTGGAGAAAATAGTATTACTTTCTGTGTCATATGGCTTTTTTTGTTTGTTTGTTCGTGGTGGGTTTTCTGTTTCTTTTTTCTTTTTTCCTTCCTTATTTGCTTTTTTTTCCTAAAGCTGATGTTTCTTGTCTTCACAGCAACTTATTCCGTATGTTGAAGAAGATGGCTCCAAGCATGATGATCGTGGTGCTGCAAGTCAGCTTCGTTTTGCTAGTGAAGAGAGAAGGGAAATCATGGAAGTAAATAAGGTAAGAAAGTTGAAATTAATTTGCATAAAACTGAAAATGTCAGTTTGTCATTGCAAAGCTTAAATTTCTTGATTGCTGTACTAAATGCAGCATGTGTGATAACTACCGTCAAACTTGCTATTAAATACTTCTTGCGGAACTAATTCAGAATTATGTTTTAGTGAGCAATTTTGGGGTTGTTTTTTTTACCTGTACCTCTGGATGTAAAGTTTAGGATTCCTGACAGTTTTAACTTGTGTCTCTTTTTCATGGGATCACAGAATGGTTTGGGTTGGAAGGGACCTTCAAGAGCATCCAGTTCCAGCCCCCCACCATAGGCAGGGACACGTTCCACTAGATCATGTTGCTCAAAGCCCCATCCAGCCTGGCCTTGTGAGCTGCCAGAATGTTGCAGCCACAGCTTCTCTGGGCAGCCTGTGCCAGTGTCTCACCACCCTCATAGTAAAGAAGTTCTTCCTAATCTAATCTAATCTAATCATCTAATCTAATCTAAATCTTCCATTTTTCATTTTAAAGCCATTCCCCCTTGTCCTGTCACTACTTGCTCTTGTAGAAAGCCCCTCTCCAGATTTCTTGTCAGCCCCCTTTAGGCACTGGAGGCTGCTATACGATCTCCTGAGAGCCTTGCCTTCTCCAGTCTGAGCAACCCCAACTCTCTCAGCCTGTCTTCACAGGACAGGTGCACCAGGCCCCTGATCATCTTTGTGGCCTCCTCTGGATTTGCTCCAATAGGTCCACATCCTTCTTATGTTTGGGCCCCAGAGCTGCGGTCTCGCCAGAGCTGAGTAGAGGGGAGGGATCACTTCCCTCCGACTGCTGTCCACTCTCCTTTTGATGCAGCCCAGCGTACTGTTGGCTTTCTGGGCTGTGAGCACACACTGCTGGCTCATGTCCTTTTTCTCATCAAACAATGCAACATCTCCAAGTCCTTCTCCTCAGGGCTGCTCTCAACCCATTCTCTGTCCAGCCTGTATTTGTGCTTGGGATTGCCCTGCCCAGGTGCAGGACTTGGCCTTGTTGAACTTCATGAGGTTGGCACTGGCCCACCTCTCAAGCGTTTCAGAGGCCCTCTAGATGGCATCCCTTCCCTCCAATACACTGATTGCACCACAGCTCAGTGTCATCAGCAAACTCGCTGAGGGTGACTCAGTCCCACTGTCCATGTCGCCAGCAAGGATGTTGACATTTATTCTTTGGAATACAGTGTATTATGTATATGCTTAACCCACTAGATATTAGCACTTCAGATTGAAGTAAGGTGCCTGTTGTACTTACTTCTTTTTAAAACTTATTTTAGGTGTTAAAAAAACAGGTATTGAGCATCAGATGTGTAAATATTATTTCAGTGATGTGAGTTGGTAAAGAAGTTTCAGGGCAACCTTCTGTATTTTGACAGTTTGAAGAAGACCATTGCTTTTGTTAAGTGCTGAATTTATTGAGTGTTGACACATTCAGAGAAAAAATGTACTATGTATGACAAAGATGCTGCTAAATTTTCAGTGTGAGTGGCAGTATGCAATTGAGTGCAAAGATGGACTCTAAAAATAAATATGCCGTAGGAAATGCTAATATAATATTGAGATTAAAAATATGTAGTTTTAGCAGACCACAATTTCTAACGTTTCTTCAGTCTGTAAAGTACCAAGATAGGTTTAAATAAATATTTCTGTTGTTGTAAATCAGTAAATGCTCAGTAAAATGCATAACCTACAAAAATAAATGAACAAAGGAAATAAATGAGTAAACTACTTCTTTATGGAGAGAATAATTGTTGGATTTTCAGCTTTTAAACTATTTCTGCTACTTTAATTTGTCTTCAGCAGTAAGAGATGTATTGAGTTTTTCATAACCAATTTATTTAGAAAATGTATGCATATTGTGTAGGACAAAATGAGGACTACCAGAAGTTAGAGAAAAGCAATTGTCAGCTTTCTTGTTGTATTCTTTCTGTTCAGTGCTGATGTAGCAGGTTTGTATATATTGTATATGTAATGTACTGTGAATTTATGCACATTTATTTGCAATCTTTAAGTGTTAATAAGTTTAACTGTCCATATTTGCTGTGTTTTTAATAGTTCTCTGACATGGTTTTGCCCTTGTTGTTGTATTTGCATGCTACTATGTTTTTAAACCTCTTTGGTGTGATCTTGTGAAAAGAATTTCATAAATGTTAATGATGAGTTTTGAACCTTAAAAGGTTGATGGTGTTACTGGACCATTGCTAGCAAATTTGCAATAAGAATGTGTTAAAGCCTTCACTTAAATCTGGTCTCAAATCCTGTATTTACACTTAAATTCCTTGACCCAATTTCCAGATTTTCTTGAGTGCATTGGGTTGGTTTTTTTTGCCTCCCTCCAACTGTCTGAGCACATCCACCGCCACTTTCCAAGTTCCACTTGCAATACAGACAGAATAGGAAATTGCTAGAAATAAAGAAATTCCTATTTTTACCAAAAAAAAAATCACTAGTATCGGGTTAATTGACCTAATTTCTGACCGTGGCTGCTGGGCTCAAATAGCATTCTGGTTCTCAGCTGGCACTCCTGACAGCTTTTCAGTCCTCTGTAGTATGGAATGTCCACCTCTGACTCAGTTTTGCTTAATCTATTTTAGCAAAATCCCAGTAATACAAAATGTTGATGAAAATGCTGTGACAGGGAAACCAATGTGATAGATGGTGAAGCTTTTTACATTCTTGACCCACTGTCTTTACTTCCATCAGCTGGTCATCCTGCTCTCACCTAGTGCTTTTTTGATGTGATATGCAGTACCAAAAAAGGCCTTATTGCAATAACCCAATACTTTGATGCGATTGACACATTTGAATTCTTAGACCTTTCGTGTGTCTCTTAATTTTGCCCTTCTTGGTGTGATATCACAGCCAGTCTTATCTCTTTAGTGGTTCTGCATGTATGTGAAGGACACAAACTGCCCTGCAGTGCGGAGCTCAGCCAAAACTAGTAGACCCTATAAACCTTATGGATCATGTGTTCTCAGACAAAAACATCCCTCCTTCCAGGAGTCACCATACATAGCAGTTCTGCTTTGCTACTACAGTTGTCTGGAAGGGAGCATCCCCAGTGGAGGGGTCAAGGAGCACCCTGTAGTTCCTTTATTCACCATCTCATTCATGAAGTAGGAGACCCTGTTGATGTAGCACAATTCCTAAATACTGCAGTACCTTTTGATGTCAGTTTACTGAATAATAGTGGCATTTTTTGGTCTTATTTATTTATTTCTTCTGATATATTAGACTTGTTTTTTTAGGTCGGAAAGTTTAATGTGCTCACCTTGGCTAAGTAGTACTTGTTCATTAATTTAAAATATAGATTAGCTTACAAGGTAATGAATTTCTGTCCTAGCAATTCAGTTATAATTAGCAATTGTAGGTTTAAATTCAAACTATTAAGCTTAGAAAGAAATGGAATTTTTTGCCTGCACTAGGAATGCCACTATTATTATAAAACAACCAAACAAACCATTTGTGGAACACCAAGTAGCTCTACTTTTGTACAAAACATTTTTGTACCAAAAATGTAGCTTATTCCTTGTTATCTGTATTTGCTTTCTGGGACTGTAAGTTGTTGTGGTGATTGACTCTTTTCTGGAGTGAAGAATTTAGTCCTCCAGAATCAGTTTAGCATTTGCATTCGTCTACTAGTACAAGTCCTGATCCAGTTTTCACTGAACATAATTACTATTTGCAACTGTTGGAAGCTATTACCAAAATTTCCTCACTTGTTTGCATATTTTTTTGAGATGTTCTCTCTACATGTTTTTTACATTCCAAGTATTGCATCACCTGTAATATTTTTAAGATGTCAGGCTCACCTTGAGTCTGTGGTTTTGTAGTACATTTGACAGGACTTACAAAATAGCAAATCACAACTAAGAGCACTTTAATTTGTGTTGCTGCCTTATCAACAGTTTACCCCTTTTTTTAAAAAAGAAATTGAGCAAGAACAGCATTGTTTTTTTAGGTGTTGTAGGTCTGCTTTCAAATGAAACACTTGGGAAAGCCATCACATAATTCGTAGTCTTGATACATTTGGGTGAAAATGAAATTATATGAAATAGCGTTAGGACTTTCCAGGTGGCCCTTTAGAAAAGTCATGTTTGATTCTTAGTTAATCTTTGCTAACTGGTTAATAGTGATTTTGCTAAGAGAGGAAAAGATGTTCTACATGACAGGCATTTAAGTTAAGCTGTTACAAGCTTAGCTCTGGGCTTTTTTGATAACAAGCATTGTGCAGCTGATGTTTAGGGAAGTAGTCCTTAAAATGACAGCAATTTGCAATTAGCCTTTCCCTTTGGAGAATCGTACCTGAAAACTACTTTTGGCCATGCTGAAAACCAGCTTTCTTTTTAAACTACCTTGCACGCTATTTCCACATATTTTTAATTTGTTTTGTAGTTGTAGAGTCCTTTTGCACCCAAAATATGAATGTGCAACAAGGAACACTGTAACAAGAAGTGAAGAATTGCTTATTTGGACATCTTCTCAGCAGATTAATCTGCCCTAGGGGCATTTCCATCCTGTTTTGGATACCCAAACTGTCTGTGCAATAGTAGAATTGTAGAGGAATTTAGGCTCAGTGGGAGGTCTGATTCAACCCCTACCTCAAAGTAGGGCTAGCAAGCAAAGTTAGATCCAATTGCTTAGGTTCATATCCAGTAGCATTTTGAATATTTTGTGAGGATGGACATTCTACCCTTTCTAGGCCCTTCTTAATTATTGATTTTTCACTGAAAAAGTGTTCCTAGTCTTACATTGGAATTTTCTTAGTTGTAACTCATGTCCACTGCCCCTCATCCCTGTGCTGTGTACATTCAAGAAGAGTCTAGCTTTGTCTTCTGTGATCTTTGTGAGGTAGCTGAAGCCAGCATTGTGATCCTGCCTTAGCCTTCTCTGCTTGAGTCTGAACAAATATAGCTTTAATCATCTTGGTGGCCTTCCACTAAATGATCTCCAGTATGTTAGTGTTTTGTATTGAGCCCC